CTTCACTACAATTTTGTCTGTGTCTGTGTGTTATGCATATAAGTTCTTTGGTTAATCTCTTCCCAGCCTCTGCCCCCTTCAGTCTGAGATTCATCAGTGTGTTCCATTCTTCCATGTGTCTGGATGTATTTTGTTGTTCAGTTTGTTTTATTCATTAGATTCCACACATAAATTAGATCAGGTGATACTTGTCCTTCTCTGACTGGCTTATTTTGCTTACCATTATACTCTCTAAGTCCCTCCATGCTTTTTCAAAGGTAAGAGATCCTTCTTTTTTACAGCTATACAGATGTGAATTTTTTTTTTTTTTTAATCCTCACCCAAGGATATTTTTTCCATTGCTTTTCAAAGAGAGTGGAAAGGACAGAAAGAGAAATGTTGATGTGAGAGAGACACATTGATTGGTTGCCTCCTGCACAGTCCCCAACCAGAGCCAGGGATCTAGCCTGCAACCAAGGTACATGCCTTTGGCTAGAATCAAACCCAGGACCTTTCAGTCCACAGGAAGATGTTCTAACCACTGAGCCAAACCGGCTAGGGTGGGATGTGTATTTTTAAGATGATTTTACTACCTACACTTCCTAGACTTGCCAATTAATTTTTAGAATTTTGTTTCTAATAGTCAGAAGCCCAGCAAGATAAAAGGTGATGGTTTTATACATCACATTTCTTACCCATTATGTGAAGCAGGTGTGCAGTGCATTTCCCTTAGCTTATTCTCATGCCACACCTTCTTTTGGCTCTTAACTAATACTTGGGAAGACATGATGAAGGCAGATATGTTTGCAGAGATCATCCTTGCCATGATGGTTAACAATCAAATCTTGAGTAACACAGGCTTTGCCAGTTCTTTCTACTTTTTTTTTTAAAAAAATTATATCTTTATTGATTTCAGAGAGAGGAAAAGAAAAAGAGTCATTGATCGGCTGCCTCTTGCACACCCCTTGCTGGGGATCAAGCCCTTAACCTGGACATGTGCCCTGACTGGGAATCGAACCACTATCTTCTGGATCATGGGTCAATGCTCAACTGCTAAGCCACTCCAACTGGGCAGATCTACTTTTCTTGTTCAACATAGTGATGGGACCAAAACTTGTTATAACAATCTATCTCTCCACCTAGCAATGGTTTTATAAGTTCTTATGATGATTTCATATGCTTCACAAGTAATGTTTGGAAAGTCAGTTAAATCACCAATTTTTTCTTTATTGCATGCAGAAAAATGCAAAATTGAATATTTAAATCCTTTGTCATATTACAAATATGCATGAGAATGTTTAATAAGTTTATGTTAGCAAAAGTGAAATAAAAGAAGTTACATTCTTTTATGTATAAAAGAATAATTACAGCCCATGCACCTGTGTTCATGAAGTAATGTGTTTTTTGCAGTAATAAGAGATGGTATTTTGACTGAAACTCTTAATGATAGAATGAAAAAGCCAAGCTATTAAGAACTGAAGAAATATTAACCTTAATGCCGTTATAATTTAGATTTGTCAACAAGGTTATGAGGACAACAACTTTAGAGATAATATTGTAGGTATTCTACTTGTATTTAACAAAAATGTGCTTTCTCAATCAAATATTTGCCCTAAGTTCTACTTCAAGATGTTTGTATTTATTCAACTAAAAACTTATAGTTAAGCATTCAATTTCAGTGGGACTTGAGACAAGATGCAATTAGGGGATTTGGAAATAGTTGTGTACCTAACCAAAAATTATGGAAATGATTTACTAACATATGAAAGTCAGTTAAAATGCTTCACTCTAATTTTGTCTTTCCATAAATGCATGTTTCTTAGACATGTGGAATGATATATGCAAGTTTTACTCACTGGATTTACCCTTACAGGTAAATAAGCAACTTTTTTCTCTCTTAAGATCAATGCTATATGCTCTATGAAAAAAGTCCTTATGGAAAAAAAATCACCTAAGTGTGCGCCCTCAATGTAACTCTTTTAGATACTCTTGGCCAAGTCAAAAGTGTCAAACTACATGCCTATGCTTCCTCTCTGAGGACTAGACTTTCAGGGCAACAAAGAGAGTGCTCTGCCATAGAACAGAGCACAGGGTTTTTTTATATAGTAGTCATTCAGCAAATGCTTGTTTAAATCAATTGTATAAAAATCTTTGCATTACTCTTATGCATGACTAAAATGACTAGTTCCACTATTTCACAGACTTAGACATAGATAATAACAGCCAAAATCACTGCTATACTGTATATTCATTTCTCCCTCAGTAGATTTCCATATCTATTTTCCTAGTTTAAATGTTGAGTTATTATCCAACAACTTGATAATTATATAATAAATATCACCAATGATTAGTTGTTTGTTATCTAAATTCACCTTGAGAAATAATTCATTGTCTCATAATGAGATTAAAAATTTGTTTGAGAACAAAAAATACTAGTTCTATACAAATAGAATAATAGTTCATTTGGAAGTATTTTAAAATTATTAATATTATTTAAAGCTTTATAGGTACAAATTCATTGTAAAGTAATGCTTGTAGAACTTTTAAATTTTCAACTCTGAATAATAGTTGACATTGAAATTGTTCAACTATGTTACACAGTCTCCCTTTATTAGAGAAAACTGCTTGAAAACAGGCCACCCACAACATTTTATAGAATTGAAGTTTGTCCCCAAATTGTTTCAGTTTTTCTCAGATTTGGCTTATGAATGCCCTGACTTTGTAGGTATAAAGGAGGTGAAAGGTATGTGTGTGTGTATAAAGTATTATTTAAGTAAGTAACGTGTTTCTTCAATTTAAGTGTACATATTTTAATGTACATGTACATTCTTAAAAATCTTAAATTGAAAGATTTGATCTATCAAAATGTGATAATAAATGATACAGTGGAAAATGTAAATGGTCAATTCTGAAAAAACAATAAAAGTCTTCTGCCGTTGTCCATGTTTTATCCATTTTTTAAAACCATAGAGGGAAAAATATTCTTGGGGGGGAAAAATGAATTTTTATTGCAAAAGTAATGAATGCAAGAAGTGGCACTTGAAGTAGTGAAGAGACGTGAAGCATTGCAGCTTCATAGCCTGCTAAGGAGCAACAGCTGTATTTAATTTCAACTTGACGTGCTTCAGATCTCATATTCATATAGATATTTAATGATCCAAACATAATGGTCCTATATAGAATAATTACTTATATGAAGAAGCAAACTTCATACGCATTCCTTTTTAAATGATCCTTTAAGAGGAAAAACTGCACTGGCTCTCTGAACAATGAATAGTCTTTTTCACCAACCACAATGTTTAGGGCTAAATAGTTTATCTTTGAAGATAGGATAATAATAGTGCTGAGGCTACTTCTTTCTGACAGACTCTTTTTGTCTACCCCCTTTCCAAGATAGCCAGTACAATGAAAAAAGATAGAATGCCAAGCCGATCATTAAGTCATACTGGTAGATGGTTACAAGAAATATCAGAAACAAAAGGAAATAAGGTATTTTTGAGTTGGTGTATTTCAAAAGCAGAGATTCATTGCTTTGAGCTTGACTTTCATGGGCAGGGAGATTAGCAGAAGCAGAGCTCTCAGATTCCTTGTCACCTGAAAAACATGGTGACTGTCCAGAGTTTAGTAATCCTTCATTTTTATGCCATGCTTTTTCTATGTTTTCAACAGCTTCAGTGATTAAAATTGTTGGCCCTAAACACTTTTTCACATTGCTTTCTCCTTCCTGAAAAATCTGACCTATATGTCTTTCTCTTCTACTAACTGATCTCACTATTCCTGAACTTTTGGAAACTTCTTCAGTTGTATCCCCAGGATGTAGGTATTTCTCAATACCCTGGATTTCACTTGCTGGATTACAATTATATTCTGATTGGAGAGACATGGTAGTAACTGTATTATCTACAGCAATTGCCTGTTCATGAGATGACACTGAAGTTTTAGCATGGTGATTGGAAACATGAGAGCCATTCTCAGACACTTTATTAGTGTCTGAGTTTAAAGCAGAATGAATAATGGCACCTATATCCATTTCCTTTGATAATTCTTGGACCTGCCCATGATCTCTATTTTCTGGAAATATATTTTTGTCTTTTGGTAACATTCCCAAATGCAAATTCAGTTTTGAGGCTGTTTTTTGATTGCTTCTAATGACCTGTAAGGGTTCTTCTACAGATGTTATATTTCCAGTGCCAAGTTTCTTCCTGTCATGTGTCTTCGCAGGATTGTACTTAGATATGGTTTCTTCACTCTCAATTTCATCTACATGTGCTTTATAGATACCTAAATGTGATTGTTTTTCAAAATCATTATCATAGATTACACCTACTGTATCTCCTTGACAAAAGGTATAATGTGAATCATCATTTCTCCCTTGATGTGGATCAAACGCTATTTCCTTTACTTCAATGGGCCTGCCACTTTGTGCTGTCTCTTGAGGTAGCTGAGCAATCATTGCTTTTTCTCTGGCACACATGCTTTCTAGAGTACTTTCTGATATTGTCTTAATTATATAAGCTGTACCTGCTTCTACTTTTTCAGTAATATCATGATCAGCTAGAGAGGATGGTTCATAGCTCACTGTTTCTTGGCAGGTAAACAATTTTTCTGTAGGAGTAGCAGTAAAACTCCTTGTATTATCTCTTTTTTCCCACATGTCTTCACAATCTGCATGTTCTTTGATCTGCTGGACTGTATTTGTTTTACTCTCTCTTGCTTTTCCCTGACTTTCCAGAAAATTCCATAGTTGTTTTTGCTGTTTGTTCTTATTCAGATATTCAGGATTAATACTACCTAAATTTCCTTCTTCAACTTGGAAAAGGTGATCATTCCTCAAAATATTTCCATTTCTGGGTGAACAAACTTGACCAGGTGTCTCTCCTGAAGTAGTGCCTTTACTAGTCGAGAGATCAAGCTCTTTGGTTGTTAACACAGCTTTATTCCATCTTAGGTTTCTTCTTGGTGATTGAAACAAATCTGCTCTGATTGCCTGGTTGGGAGTTGTGTCTTTACTCTGCAGAACAGTTAGCTCTCTGCTACTAGCTCCAATCTCTTTCACATTTATTTCAGAGAGGCTTATCTTCTCTTGGTCATATAAGATTGATTGAAAATTTTTGCTTTGTTCTTCGTTAACACCTAGATGTATTCTTTGCTCCTCACTCTTACCATTCCCATAACCTTTCTTGGAAGTTCCTTTTTCTATTGATTCTTCCAAATGGAAATCTGAATGGAAATCTCTTCTTAAACATTCCCAATCTTTCATTTTAATTTTCATAGCTGCTCCCTCATCCTTTTTAGTAAGGTTATCTCTCATTAGTTGATCTGAGGAGCAACAAGATATTTGTACTCTGCTTCTCTTTTCAGCTGGATTAGCATCATCATCCAATACTTCTTTGTTGCTAACATGTAATTGCACTAATTCATCACTACCAGTATTTTCCAATGATGGCTTGATTTTTCTCATATCTGAAGTAATTTCCTCTGAAGGTTGATGACTACACTCATTTCCTGAGAAATATTTTTCATTGCAATAAAAATCTCTCTTTAAGGAGCTTTCTGCTGATGAACTTGGAGACAAAGTCTTTTTAAGCAAGTCGGTGTACTCTTCATCATGAATATGTTTCTTCTCTAACACCTCAGCTTTATTTGGAAAATTGATTGAATCTGTTGAAAATGTATTCTTTTCATCTCTGGAAGCAGTGCTTCTTATTAAGCCTTGATTTATCTTAAGGAATAAAAACAAGAAATAATGACCAAGTGATTTTAAATATACAAAATGAATAAGATAGTTTTCATTAATTTGCCTACTAATTATCTGGTAGACTTCCTTGGTTCATTTCAATTGTGGATTTAGTACAAATTCTGTAAGCTATGTGTTTTAAGGGAATCTTGTAGGCTATGACTTAGGAAAGATATTAATAAGAAAAGGGGCCAAAATTAATCATTCTTCTTCCCAAATATCACATTGTATTATTCAACTATTCTTCCTTGTCATTGCACTTTCTCCTAGCTTAGGATATACACATTGATAGCTCCATGCTAATCAATTAGAGAGCAGCTCCCTGGGTGCCCTTTGCTACATTCACACTTGCTGTAGATGCCCCTATTACAGTTTCTCTTATTAATATGTTTTCTGCAAAGCCTCTCCAAACTATTAATAGCAAAACGTCACTCAAAGAAAAGTGAAGGAGTTAATGTCTCTGCAAATTCTGTTTTAATGACCCTCTGCCAACTGGTACTCAAATGTATTTGAGCTCTTCAGTGATGCCAACTGTCAGGGTTTAACAGTGAGATGCCTGTGTGTTTTTTTTCTCCTCATAACTGACATTTGCATGATCTCAATAATTATATGCAAATCTTACATTTTCCCCTTCTTCTCACATAAGGCTCATGTTACTTGTCAACTGCACAGCTGTCTTTTAAGCCAATGCCTGTGGGTTCCACAGATTTGGTTGTATTTCCATCTATTATAGAACTTCATTGTTTTATGCATTAATGTCAGCATGGAGCAAATTAGCTTCTAAATTAGAGCTCCCTGTTCATTTATTGGACATTCAATCTCAGTAATTTCTAAACAAACTTTTATATTTGAGCCTGCTCATTGTAATGAGATGTATCGGTGAAGTATGTGATTTTTTTTAGGGCCCTTTCATTATATACTGTTGTTTGAAAAAAAAACAAGAATGTTAACTTTCAGCTGCTGAGAATTCTCACAGTGGGTGACAACTTTGTAGCTTCTTAAAGTTAGAGCAAAGTAAACTGCATACTTTAGTGATGCAGCTTCCATATCACTATAAAAAAAGGAGAATGTGTGGGGAAAAAGATGAGATCTATTTCCTTTCTGTTTCAGCCCTGACACTTGAGAAGGCAAATTTTAATCTTAGATGATTATGAATCTCTGTATTCTAATGACAAGAGCTCCAACCAAACACTGTAAAAGATAAGTTACATTACGTGATTCATTTCTCCTATTTCTTCCTTTGTAATAAAAATGCTATCTAAAACATCCTCTCAAAATTCCAAATTGATTGAATGTTCACCAAGTGTGAAATTTATAACAAATTTAATACTAAATTTTACAGTACTGCCCTTGCTTCCTGTTTAAAAATATGGCAAAGGATATTTTCTCTTTATTTTGTAATTGAATACTTTCCAGTAATATAGAACATTGAGATTCTCATAATGATGTAAGAAAGAAAAAAAGATGTTGCTAAATGCAATACTTGTAGTTCAGAACAGAACCCTAACAATCATCTAATCCAGCCCTCTCATTTTACAGATGAGTTTATGCTAAGTCTACACTTGACACAAAGATTAGAAATGCATATCAGAATAGTGCTACCTCTTCTGTAATTCCTACAAACTATTACTCAGAGCTGCTGGTAAATGGATAAAGTGAATGTTACTAATTTACCACTGCAGAAAGTAGAAGCAGCATACTGAAATCAAAGTGCCTTGACCAAGCTAGAGATGCAAGGACAGAATAATCTGTGCTTTCACATTTGCAAATTACATTAGTTGAAGCTATCAAAAGGCCAGCATTGCAGCATATTTGAAGCATAAACGGATACATCTTTTCTAATAATGTGGCAACCAGAGCACTTACCTTCAGCTTTAATTCTTTTTCATCATGTTCATCATGGATCCTGTTTACATCTTTTACATTTTGAATACCAGTTTCCAAGTCTTCCTTCTCCTCATGAGAACAAACAATTATTGGGATATGAGTATCTGAAAAGTTAATATAATTGTACCCGTGTAAGATTGTTATAATTGTAAGCTTTAATAAAAGTGACAGATTTGGTATAAAAATTAAATAAGATTACCTGTAATCTTTGAATTCTCAAAGTTTTTCTCGTATGACGTTACTGATGATTCTTCTTTACTGTTAAGTTAAAAAAAAAAAAGTTATTCATTTTTCTTGGAAATATCTTCTAAGTATTTTTATAAAGGGAGGATTTTAAACCAATATCAAGCCAAATACATATTGTATAAACTTTCATATTATTTTTCACTTTGTACATTTTTCAAGTAAAATTGATCTCTCAGAATGATATAAAGGTATATAGTAGTTGTAGAAAAATTTGAAAGTAATATACACAATGCCATATTTCTAATGAAGAATATGTTGCTCATATTAAAAGTTATATAACAAAAATAAAAATGAATGTAAATGTAGATTATTCCATAATCATGAATTTAATGTTTGCAAGTGAGAACATTTTTCTCTTAGTTTAAATGATAAAGTTTTATGAACTGACAGTTCATTTGTGGTCATGGAAATTGCCTTCTAACATCCCAATTATTAATTTTTTTGTGTTCTATCTTAATCAAAATTCAGTCGGATTGATATAACATTAGATCTTTCCAGAAAAGGAGAAAAAAATCCCCAAACTTACTAAAAACTGAAAGGCAGCTAAATTTATACTCAGTTAAAAGACTTTATGTGTGTATTACCACAGGCAAATTTTATAATCAAGACTTCAGATTGCTCATATAAAAACATATATTTTCTTTCTTTAAAATGATTCATTGAACACTCCCTTTTCTATTGTATTCTGCATACTGATTGAGAAAGATAACTACCTTTTACTTTCTAATGTAATCTGTTTGTAGATGTTTTTGTGGAATCATTAAATTTAAATTTGTTTATGACACTCAGCAAAACAAATAAACAAACAAAAGCTTTAGTGAAAAAGGCCACTCTGTGTAGTTATATCACAAGTCAATTTATCAGATTTTCTTGTTCTGTTTCAGCTGAACCTGCAATAAAAGAAATCCAGAGAGTTGGTAATAGCTGATAAATGTGTGTAATAAAGTCCATTTTTCAATGGACAATGTTGATTCAAATCCCAGGAAGCCTAATCTTATTTCAACAAATAATGAGAAAATTGCAATTTTTTTCATTCAAACTAAGGAAGGAATTCAGTATTATTTGAATTTATGATGCTTCATTTTAAGTTAACTTAAAACATTTGGTAGCTCCCAGTGGGTCCATGAAAGAAAATAATGTTTCTATAAAAATAATTTAATTAGAAAAATGTAGAATTTACAAAATTGATATTTATATAATCTATAAATCTATATTGTTTAATGAAACTAATAACTATGTAAAGGCCCATTTTTGTGGAATATTATTGCAAGCTGAAACACTTTTCCTTCTCCATATACATAACATTACTTAATTTTTCCAGCTTCCACTTTATTCCCATAACAATTCAGAAAAAAATTCATTTGTAGAAGAAAAATAATAGTTATTTAAAGCCTTTTGGTTTTGCCTAACCAAAATGCTATAAATTCTTTTTTTTTTAAACTCAATTCTCTAAAATATCTCAATTTTTAAAAAATGATTGAATAAAAAAGAAAAGGCCCTGCTCTTAACTCCTTTTGGGAATAAATAATTAGGTACCAAATTATGTATTTATTATACTGATGTCTTATAAAAACATGTAAATACATATATATATATAGGAGAAGTATTAGATTCAGTGATAAATACAAGAAAGAAAAGCTGAAATAGATGAAATTTAAGAATATGAAATGTCTATTAAAAAAACTAATGGAAGATGTGTAGTAAGACTCCCAACTAATAAAATTGTATCTAGACCTAGAAAAATTGAGAAATATACCATGTTCATAGATAGGAAAAAGGTATTACGAAGATAATCTCTCCCAAATTGATCTACTTTCAATTATATTCTAATAAAAATTCCAGTAGAGTTTTTCACTAAATTTGAAAATATTATTCTAAAGTAAGTAAGTATGGGGCTAAAGATAGCTGGAATATTTCCAAGAAATAGCAGGAAGGAGGAATCTGCTGTACCTGATTTTAAGAATTTTTATGAAGATTTAGTTAAGACAGTTACACAGAGACACATGAGGATTGAGAAACTTAGTGACAGATCACACATATCAAATTTTGGTATATGACAAACAGTATGACAGACAACAGGGAAATGAGGGACATTTTAGTAAATGGATATAGGGAAGATGCTACTTTTACAGGAAAAGAAGAAATTAGAAAAACATATATTCAAAAATCAACTCAAGCCCAGCTGACGTGGCAGTGGTTGAACATCGACCTATGATCTAGGAGATCGAGGTTTGATTCCCAGTCAGTGCACATGCCTGGGTTGTGGGCTGGATCTCCAGCAGGTAGTGTGCAGGAGGCAGCCCATCAATGACCCTCTCTCATCATTGATGTTTCTCTCTCTCTCTCCCTCTCCCTTCCTCTCTCTGAAATCAATAAAATATATTTTTTAAAAAATCAGCTCAAGATCAATTATGACCTTAAATGTCAAAAACCTTGAAATTGTTAGTAGAAAATATATGTAAATATCTTTCAGATTTTAAAATGAATTGTCAGTTTAACTTTCTCAAAATTTAAAACTTGTGCATTAAAAGATATCTTCTTTCCAGGTGGTGTTTCAGAATTCTTAGGATATATTCTTGGAAGTGGGATCACAGGGCCAAATAGCAGTTCCATTTTTAAATTTTTGAAGGGACTCCAGTGTTTTCCATAGTGGTTGCACCAGCCTGCATTCCCATCAGCAGTATACTTGGTTCCTTTTTCTCCACAACTTCGCCAGTAGTTATTTGTTGATTTGTTGATCGTAGCCATTCTGGCAGGAGTGAAGTATGTCTCTTGGTCATTTGTATATCATCTTTGGAGAAGTGTCTATATAGGTCTTTTCATTTTTTAATTGCTTTGTTTGTCTTCCTTTTGTTGAGTTGTGTGAGTTCCTTATATATTTTGGAAATTCATCACTTATTGGATGTATCATTAGCAAATATGTTCTCCCATACAGTGGGTTCCCTTTCCATTTTGATGATGATTTCTTTTGCTGTACAGAAGCTTTTAATTTTGATGTAGTCTCATTTATTTTTTCCTTTATTTCCCTTGCACTAAGAGATGTATCAGTGAAAATTCTGCTACGAGAGATGTCTGTGATTGTGCTGCCTACATTTTCTTCTAGTATTTTTATGGTTTCACTATTTACATTTAAGTATTTTATCCATTTTGAGTTTATTCTTGTGCATGGTGTAAGTTGGTGGTCTAGTTTCATTTTTTTGCTTGTACCTGTCCAATTTTCCCAACACTATTTATTGAAAAGACTGTCTTTACTCCATTGTATGCTCTTGTCTGCTTTGTCAAATATTAATTGAGCATCCTGAAACACCACCCAGAAAGAATATATGCATCGCTATGTTCATAGCAGCACAATTTACAATAAGCTAGAATCTGGAAACAGCCCAAATGCCCATAAGTAGATGAGTGATTTAAAGAGGTGTGTGGCACATTTACACAATGGAATACTATGCAGTTATTAAAAAGAAAGACCTCTTACCTTTAGAGACATCACAGAAAGACTTGGAAAGTATATGCTAAGCAAAATAAGCCAGTCAGAGAAAGACAAGTATCACATAATCTCACTCATATATGTAATCTAATGAACAAAATAAACTGGCAAATAAAATATATCCAAAGACATGGAAGCTTGGAAAAGACTGACAGATCTCAGAGGGAAGGAGGAGGAAGAGATTAACCAAAGAACTTTTATGCATATATGCATAAACCATAGACACAGACAATAGTGCAGTGAAGGCCTGGGGTAGAGGTGGGAACCAAGTGGAAGGGAGCAATAGGGATTAATAAAAGGACATCTGTAATACTTCAACAATAAAAATAAATTTAAAAAATATATCTTTATAATGAAAAAATATAAATTACAAACTGGGAGAAGATGCTTGCATTGCTCAAAGACAACACAAATAAGTATTAAAATATTTAAAGAACTCCTACAGATCAATAAGAAAACACATAGACTTCAATAGAATCAGAGGAGAGGGGTAAACATTTCACAGATGATAAAATACACTTAGTGAATAAGTACATAAAGGGATGGTCAACATTATTAAGGAACAGAGAAATAAAAATCAAGACCTAAGGAAGCACCCTTTTATGCCACTTAATTGATAAAAATTGCTATCAACAACATAAACTTGAACCAACCCAAATACCTATCAAGTGAGTAGATATAAAACTATGCTATATCACAAAACAAATATTGTATACCACTCAATGATAATAAACCACAGAGAACTACGACAATATAAATAAATCTTACCAAAATATTTTAAGTGAACTGTTCCAAACATCAGGTGATGTTCTTTTATTATCTAAATGAAAAATACCTAAAATAATTTAAATATATGTACCTATGAACACATAGAATATAATAAAAAGTTATATAAACAAGAAAGCTTGATTTTTCAAGATATGGTTTCATCAGGTATGGCAAGTTAGGGGACACAAGTTAGGAAAGGAAATGGTTAGTCAATTACTGTTTTGAGTGGTCATTTTGAAGGTGCTTATTACATTATTTATAATATCTAAATCATTAAATTCTAGTTTTAGATAATTAGTTAAAATGAATTGGCTTCTCTCTGGTGTAGATTAAAAGATAGTTATAAATAAAATCTCATTCTGAAATTCAAAATATTCATCATATGACCAATTACATCTAAAGAGTATAATTAAAACAACTTTAGAAAACTTGAGGCAAAAGATAAACTTGATGGTTGATGATAATAGGGCCCAGGTTGATATACAATTGTTATATAAAATTAATGTATTATTAAATGTTTCTAGTCTTCACTTTATGTTTTCTGAGTCCTTTTTGAGTTTCTTTACCCGTATTCCAAGGGCTAACACAGTGCCTGACACATAATAGTGCCATAACAAATGTTGCTGAATAAATGCACAGCACCCTTTCTACTTTTCCCTTCTTTCCACCTCTTGTGAAGTGGAAAGGATATTATCATAACATTGTTCTTCTCTTCCTTTCTTATTAAAATTTAATTTCAGAAAAGGTTCCATAAAAT